ACATCCAAACTTCAGTTCAAGTAAACATCAACTTCAGTCAACATCTTCTCTTAAAGAAATACAACTCAATGTGAAAAATTACATTGTTTCTCAAGACTCCATGTTCCAATGACCTGGTATTTTTTGTAAGGTATCTATAGACTCCATAACGAACTTCCACAACAAAAGAAATTGTGTCACATCAGACCAACTGGGGCTGAACTAATGTGCCTACCAAGACTTTAGACATACCTGGACTTCAAGATGGTTCATCCTTTTCACAACCGTCTGCAGCATTTCCCATCCTTGGGTTCTCAGAGGTTGTTGAGACTACAACTCCCATTATCCCTAGCCAGCAGGGCCAGTGGTCAAGGACGATGGGATATATAGTCCAACAACATCTGGAGACACAGAGTTGGGAAAGGCTGCTCTAGAGTAATTGCCCGGTGCAATACTTAATCTTGCACCAATTACAGCTGATCAAAACCACAGTTGTGAGTTTCAACAACACAAGCAAGACAGCCCATGTACAGTACCGGAAGATGTATAACAATATATCTCCCCTTTCAATCCTCCCAACTCTTTTCTTTCTGAGGAACACAATGGGGCTACCTTTGAAGGTGACCCAAAAACTACAACTAATCCAGAATGTGGCAGCTAGATTAGTGACAGAGAGTGGCCACCAAGAACATATACCACTGGCCCTGAAAGACCTACATTGGCTCCCAGTATGTTTCTGAGCACAATTCAAAGTGTTGGCACTGATCTTTAAAGCCCTAAATGGCCTCGGCCCAGTATACCTGAAGGAGCGTCTCCACCTTCGAAGGCCTTCTAGTGGTCCCCTCCCTGCGAGAAGTGAAGTTACAGGGAACCAGGCAGGGGGCCTTCTCGGTAGTGGTGCCCGCCCTGTGGAAAGCCCTCCCATCAGATGTCAAGGAAATAAGCAACTATATGACTTTTAGAAGACATCTGAAGGCAACCCTCTTTGGGGAAGTTTTTAGTGTTTGATGTTTTATCGTGTTTTTAATATTCTGTTGGGAGCTGCCCAGAGTGGCTGAGGAGGCCCGGCCAGATAGGTGGGGTATGAATAATAAATTATAATGTTATTATTATTATTATTATTAATGGATTGTGCGGCTCCTCTCACTTTTTGCAAATTTTGCAGAGAGTCCCAACTTTTTGATAGTAATTTAAAACTGTGGAGGTTTATACCTCAAGAAACTTAGGAATAGGTCACCTGTACAAATTACTTCAGTCCCAATACCTATGCAGAAGTACTATCAAGGAACTCTTCACCTGGTTCATATTTGCTCCCGGACCCATATCCCTTTGCCCTCCTGTTTCATCCAACTTGAAGGTTATCTCTCTTTTAAAAGGCATGATAAAGCATACTGACAAGATTTTGTGGTCTCCAAGCCACAGCCAATGAATGAAATTGTCCAAATGGAAGCAATGTGTCAAGATGCAATACTTTATCTAGACAAGGGCTTTGCCATGTTTGAAATACCCAGGCAAAGCATAAATAAAGTCATCCATTCAAGTGATCTTTACTCCCTTATAATCACAATGGGGTTATGTGCAGGTGTTATGGAGTGTTTTCATTGATAGTTAACTAAGAATTGTATTTGGGTAATGTATCAAATCTCCATTACAATTAGCTTTATTTGCTCATCTTTCCTGTTCCCAAAAGGTGTATTTGATGCTAAAACAGATAAAGATTGGTGTTAAAACAAAGCATTAACTCTTATTGACTGAATAATTTTCCTTTTGATGGAGAACCTAATGTTTGCTAAACTGCACACAGTCACAACTTTATTACAAAACCTCTCTTAAGCTAAACACAGAGATTGTTAAATTTTCATTAATAAGAGTTCAGGCACCATTTGAGGCAACGCATACTCCATTGTTTTAACCCAAAATATTACATCCTGCTATAGCATGCTTGTCATTCATGTTGCCTCCAACAAATATAAGGAAGGTCACACTTTGGTAGCTTCTGCCACACACCACAGAAAAATCCCATTATTATTATTATTATTATTATTATTAATAAACTTTTATTTATATCCCGCCCTCCCCAGCCGAAGTCGGGCTTAGGGTGGCTAACATCAAATATATAACATTAGTATAAAATCAAACAATAATTAAATTACCTCCTAAAAGCAGGTCAAAATCAAATTAAAGTCTAATTAGATGGCTTTCTGCAGGGTTAGGGTTGGGAACAGTGCTCATCAGCCCAACTGTTTATGCTGATCTTATATGGGCCTGTGAGAATGCTGGGAGGCCTCTTTCATGTTAGTTCTTATACAAAAAGAAAAGGGGAGTCAGACTGAGCCCTGACCAAAGGCCTGGTGGAACAACTCCATCTTGCAGGCCCTGCAGAAAGATGTCAAATCCCGCAGGGTCCTGATCTTTTGTGGCAGTGTGTTCCACCAGGCCAGGGCCAAGGCCGAAACTACTACAGATTAAAAATTGTGCATAAACTCAACAATTTCCAGTGTGGGAATAATTTGAGTGAGAATGGTAATAAACGTTTCACAGTACGCTATCTGTAGACTCACTTTCCCTTGCCTGTACTATTAAATAGTAATAGTTGACTCAAGTTGTTTTAGATAGAGGAAACAATATATTGTACCTACATCTTCACAGTACAACCAGTAGCAGGTAGAAATCCGGATCATGTGCACACACATCTCTATGTTGTTGTTTTTTAAATTTGGACAAATGAAAGAATCCCATGGCACACCCAGATTCTACTTACCAGCATCTTACATGAGCATGAATGCTTATGAGGGTTATATAAAAGGCTTTAGGACTACTGTAACATTAAAGATTACTAAGGGGAGAATTCATATTAGTTTACTACCTTAGGGCTAGAGATAGGATGGTCAAAATCAGCCCAGTGATTTTTAGTACTAAATATATCCCAGCTGTATATCTTCAGGTGTTTGTAGGTATATGTGCAAAGCACAGTGAGATACTGAAATGAGGTGAGCACATAGAAAATACATTTGGAAATTGTGGCTCAAAAACTCAGAGCATTTCTTACAGACTATGCACTGTGGCATACCCACATGCATGAGTTATGATTTAGCAAAATTAAACTTTGCAATGTTGGATCCTCTACCCAGACTGACAATGCATTAAGAAACTGTCCACCCCTTGATTACCTTTCTGGGATGATAAGCATGAAGTATTTACACACCCATATTTCACACAATGGCAGACACAAGCTATCATCCATCACTTGCTACATTTCTAATCATAGCATTTCATGCCCCAATTCATAGATCCATACCCTATTAAAAACCTCTTCCTTGAGAAAGTTTCAAAATACAGTATTTGATTTTAAACTTTAATGCATACTTACATTTTTTTATTTAAAAAAACCCCACTGAATAATCTAGCAAAGTGCATTTGAATGTAAAAAAAACCCCTCCCCCCTGCTATTACATGAAAAGTTTCAAGTACTTACTGAATTTTTTAAAAAATCAAGTTATTTAAAAGCAAGAAATGTTCAAATATGTACCTCTCTTACAGGGAAAGCTCTAATGAGAGGCAAGTACCCTTTCTCTAGGGAAAGATATCCTTGATTTCAGATAATTCATATGTTTGAAGAGAGTCTGCAAGCCACGATCAGCGGTGATAATCCTAGTTAGTGGTGATAATGGTTTGCCTGATTTGGCCATCACAACAAACTACAGTTCTGTAAACTGGAATAAGAAACAAGAAATCCAAAAACACGAAAAGAGGGAGCATATATGGAGTTTATGGAATATATTTATTTTGAAGGATTAGGGCAGGCATAGGCAAACTCGGCCCTCCAGATGTTTTGAGGCTACAATTCCCATCATCCCTGACCACTGGTCCTGTTAGCTAGGGATGATGGGTGTTGTAGTCCCAAAACATCTGGAGAGCCGAGTTTGCCTATGCCTGGATTAGGGTCTCCTCCTAATGCCATTGTTACAACCATCAGTTGCCTGGGCCTACCCTGAGGCATCACAAGATACAACCGAAATACCGGCCTCACACTCTCAAGTCTTCAATAGTGCCTCAAATTTCAGAGACTGACACCGCAAGAAGGAGGTTCATCTTACAGGAGAACAAACCTATTCTCCTTGGAAACCGTTATTATGGAAGAAAAGCATAATGTAACATTCTCCCTGATAAGTGTCTTGATTTCAAGTCTTCCTACGGAAAGAGAGAGAAAAAAATCAATATCAATAGAGAGAGAAAGAGACCGCGAAAAGTCTTATGAGTTGTGAAAACTTGCAACTAGGTAGCATTTGGGGAAATAATGTCACCTCTGTTTAACAACAGATTATTTTCTGGACAGCAGAGTCACTTTTCACATCCCAAGGGCGTGAAAGAACCCAGCTGCAACCCGAGCTCAGCAGCAGAAAAGAAAAGCAAGATGCCAAAAACGCAAAGATGCTCACACAAAATGTGATGTGATATGAGAACTTCTGAGTGGCTGTAACCTACTTTTTTGTATTTGAGGCTAATATGCTCACCATCAGCACGAGCCACACTCTGCCCTCTCCAAAGGGCCGACCTTTCCCACGTGCCATTTGTTCCTCTGGCAACTGACAAATATACGGTGCGGATATCAGTTCTGTGCACATGGTCAGAAGGGGCATTTTATTTATTTATTTGCAATATTTAGATGCCTCCCAATGACAGAGTTCCACGGGCAGCTTACAGCAACGAAAAGGACATTACAATACAGCTGTAACCCATAAAAATGAAGGATATGATACAATATAGGCAGCGGAGTATGAAAGAGATATAACAAGAATCTCAAGGCACATATTTTAAAAAACAATGATTAAACATATTTTAAAGATTTTAAAGTTTTAAACAGGCCTGGGGGAAGGGGGGTTACTTATCTTCTAACATATATATATCCTCCCATTCTTCCATCATGGAACCCAGATACAGTGTTCATATATTTACTAGAAAGTCATACATTGAGCCAGAGACCAGATCTAGACCTGCTTCATTTCAGAATGTGCCTTCAAACCATATTATCATTATTATGATTATGTATTTATTTACACCTCACATTTTCCCCAGACAAGGACTCAAGGCATCTTACAGATAAGAGTAAGAACAACTAAAAACAGGTGGGAAACAATCGTTAAAAAAAAAATTAAATGTTGATACAATAAAAACTAATAAAACTATCCGTCTATCCTCTGTTAAAACCATACAAATAATTACAATAATAAATAACAGCATAGCACCAGCCCTTTCAGTAAAAGCAGCCACTTCCCAAATGCCGGTTGGAACAAGAAAGTCTTCACCTGTTGGTGGAAGGAGGGAAAATATAGGAAATGGTCATGGCACGGGTAGCCCTCCAATGAAGAAAAACAGTTTAGATGTCAAAATTATGGCCATGGTTCAGTCAACTCTAACTGATAAACGTATCTTGGGTGTGCACGTGTCACAGAACTGCACTTTCCAGGGTGGCTTAACAATCAATCCGTCCTCGAAGGAAACTCTGGGAATTTTAACTCTGGGAAGGGAATAGGAGCTTCCTAACAACTTTCAGCACCCTTAACGGACTACAGCTCTGATGACTAGGAACACAGGAACCTGAGAAACTGCCTTATACTGAGCCAGACCAACAGTCCATCTAGCTGAGTATTGTCTAACCTGACTGGCAGCAGCTTTCCAAGATTCCAGGCAGGAGCTGTCTTAGACATACCTGGAGATGCCGGGGATTTAATCATCATAATCATTTATTTATTTATTTATTTCCCCAGCCACTCTGGGTGGCTTCCAGCAAAATATTAAAATACAATAATTCATCAAATATTAAAAGCTTCCCTAAACAGGGCTGCCTTCAGGGCTTTAAAGATCAGCACCAACACTTTGAATTGTGCCAGGAAACGTACTGGGAGCCAATGTAGGTCTTTCAGGATGGTGTTGTATGGTCTTGGCGCCCGCTCCCAGTCACCCGTCTAGCTGCCGCATTCTGGATTAGTTGTAGTTTCCGGGTCACCTTCAAAGGTAGCTCCACACAGAGTACGTTGCAGCAGTCCAAGCGGGAGATAACTAGAGCATGCACCACTCTGGCGAGACAGGTCCATGGGCAGGTAGGGTCTCAGCCTACGTACCAGATGGAGCTGGTAGACAGCTGCCCTGGACACAGAACCTGGGGTCTTCTGCATGCAAGGCAGAAACTCTACCACTGAGCTATGGTTCTTCTCCCAAATCCTTAGGTGGAAGCCATAATTGCTTAAAGCAGTATCACTGTGCTTTAAATGTACAGTGTGGACGTGACCTGCACTTACCAGATTAAAAAAGGAACACTCCGAAGCTGAGCATTCTGATAGTGAGATTATAAGGGCTGGTTTGCAACTTCAATCTTTAGGAGAAAGGCCACAACCTAGGGGAATCATAGAATTGTAGACCTGGAAGGGACACTCAAGGGACATCTAGTCCACCCCCCCAAAAAAATGCATTGAAGTAGCTCAGTGGTAGAGCTGCTGCTCTGCATGCAGAAGGTCTCAGGTTCAATCCTCAGCATCTCCAGACAGGCCCTGTATAAAATGCATTGAGACAGTGTTTTAGAAGGCGATTGAAAAATCAGTGAGAAGAAGACGAAGAAGAAGAAAAAGAAGTAGTAGTAGTAGTAGTAGTAGTTTGGGACACAACAGTTTTGAAGGATTAACTGCTTAAAATGTCAAATAGGGACAATCTTCCTAGATATTCCTTTCCATGCTCTCTGGCTTCTACGCCACCCGCACTGAAGATACAGCTGTATTACCTGGACATTAACCCAATCTCACTTAGCCACCCTAACACAACAAATGCATTTTTCTTCAAATTGTTTGGAGGATTCTCCCTGCTCCCCATCCCCATCCTAGTCACAGAGACTGTTAAGTCGAGTCTCTCATCATTTAAGTGGCAATCACCAAGGTAACCAGGACTAATGCGCACGACATTATCATGCAACATTTGTAAATTCTGTCTCTCTGTATCTGAAAGGCATGCACCGTTCACTTTTAAAAGCAGCCTGACAATTCCACCCACCTTTTGAGAACTACATCAAACATCTAAAAATATTGTCACCTGACAAGAAGATGGCTTTGTTAGTCTTGAAAGTAGAACAGCATGACTGATTCCCCCCACCCTGCTTATCTTAAGAACTGCTCTTGAAAAAATTCCCTTTTCCAAGCCACTACCTGGTCAAAAAGAGTCACAGCTCATAGCAATAGTAATGAGTCTAATTTTGCAGAACAGGAATGACCCACTGGGTCATAATCACCTATGTAGGAATACCCATTAAAACCTGAATCCAAAATTCAGGTACATTTGCAGGCAAAACCCAAGAGGGGAAGACTCTCTTTCCTTCTAAATCTATCTAGTTATAGCTCTTGCCTTCTAAATCCACATGGCTTTCTTTCACATGTAATGCTCACTTTATATGTTAAATTCCTACACAAGAGAAGGAAATTTTCAAGAGCCGCTTTGAGCATAGTTGTGGAAAAGCAGAATGCAAAAGATATTGATATGGTTTTAAATGCTAACTGGGCATTAGGGCTGGGCAATATCTGGTTTTCAACATCATGATATATAATCAGCTAAATATCACGATATACTGATATATCATGATGTCTGAAATAAGGATGTAACTATGTAGAGGCAAATGGGGTAATGTCCTACCTAGCAACTGCTACTACTTAGGGGTCTAGATCAACAAGGGCAGCAGGTATCATGAGAGAAGTCATGACCGGCTTCACAGTTTTTCCCATATCACTGTTTTTTACATCACACACACACACACACACACACACACACAATGTGATTCAAGATATATCAATAATGTCAAACATTATGAAACTGTTATCAAAATGTAGACTTCAAACTGATTTTGGACGATGAAGTGATACATCGCCCAGTCCTACTGGGCATTTTCCACTCTGGCAGGTATTTTTCCATAGGGATTCTGCTGTTGAAGGAAAAGCACTGCATTGAAAAATCAATTCCAGTCACATCTTTATAAGATTAGTATCTAGCAGGTTTCAATATGCATCAGAGATGTAACACAGTGATAGGCTTTAGTCCCCAAAATGAGGACAATTATTTTACACCTTCAATTATTTCAGAGCTGTCTTCTTTCAGTGTATTTATATGGCCCAAGAGTTCTGATGCAAATAAGATTCTATTAAGTTTTTATTATTATTTAACATTTTGGCTATTGTAATAGTGCTGCTACCAAGCTCACTTGCTACCTTTGCATAGGCAAGTGAAACCTCTGTTGGTTTTTTCTTTTCTTTTGTGGCACTTGACACTCACAGCTCAATTATTAGGGCTGCAATCCTGTACCCACATACTGAGGCAGCAATCCTATGCCTGGGTGCAGTGGCGTAGTGCGGGTTGTCAGCACCCGGGGCACCTGGGGCAAGGCAAGTAATTTGCGCCCCCTAACCCATGGATTTGCGCCCCCTAACCCTAACCCCCAGATGTTGCGCCCGGTGCGCCCGGCCCCCCCTGTACCCCCCACGCTACGCCACTGCCTGGGTGTAAGCACCTCTGAATTTAGTGGGACTTATGTCTGAATAGACATGTAAAGGCTTATGCTATACAGTGGTGCCTCGCAAGACGAAATTATTCCGTTCCGCGAGTCTCTTCATCTTGCGGTTTTTTCGTCTTGCGAAGCACGGCTATTAGAGGCTTAGCGGCTATTAACGGCTTAGCGGCTTTAAGAAAAAGGAAACCAACACGCAAGAACTCGCAAGACGTTTCGTCTTGCGAAGCAAGCCCATAGGGAAATTCATCTTGCGGAACGACTCAAAAAACGGAAAACTCTTTCGTCTAGCGAGTTTTTCGTCTTGCGAGGCATTCGTCTTGCAGGGCACCACTGTATTTCATCTGTATTAAGTTACAGCAGAAATTGTAAGTCTATGCTTACTTACCAAACTTATCAAGGGGGCAATGAGCTTAAATAGTTGCTCCTCCCACTATAATTTGTTAAGGCTCCAATCCAAAACATGCTTACCTGGGAGTATGCCCGCTACATGGGACTTACATCAGAGTAAACATTACAGGACTACACTGCAAGGCGTGCATACTTATTTTTCTAATAAGGCCACAGATTTAAAAACCAGTATGACATTTTTGCCCATAGGATGAGAAAACACTAAAAGGTTTAAGGGAGAAGTTTGGTTAAAAAGAAACACTTTTACCGAGGCTTAAACTGAAAGGACACAAGGGATTCTAGTATCAAAAATATGTGAAATAGTCACGGAAGAGAAGATCCAACTGCCTATGGTTTGGTTTCATTTCCCCAGACTTACAAAAGGTGTTAAATCTTTCTAACATTTGGATTTTTATCATTGGGACAGGAAAGCCAGAATCATTAAGCCCGCATGTTCCCACTAAACGTATTGGAACTAAACTAGAATGAAACCATTTGCAGGATTTAGAGATTGGGTTGTCCATTTTTTGAAAGACAAATAAGCCAAGCACTGAAACCAGCTGCAGTCCGGAAGCACCTTCAACCTTTCTACTGCTATGACATGGACAGTTGCAGCAACAGCAGAACAGACATGAGTCCATATATTTAAGATTGGAATGTGCAGCTAGAAACCTACATGATTTAACAACTTCCATTTAAATCAATGAGGGGGGCTCAATGCTGCCATTCTGTTTGTGAATGGTTCCCCACTTGCCCACAGCAGACACCTCTATTAACAGGGACAGCCAACAGGGACAGAGCCATTTATTCTTATTCTGTTTCCACACTGCTCTGGAGGATGCTTGCAGCAGGAAAGGGGAATCAACAAAAAATGTCTTTCTTACTCTTGCATTCATGAAGACTTTGACTGGATCAAAAGCCACTGAAGGAGTGGAACAGCAACTCTAGACAGAATGCACTTCTAAATAAGTATACTGTATTTTAGAACAGAACACTCAACTCCATTTCCCCACCACTAAGCAAAACCCAAATTATTTTGGCCATACTGACAAATCCTGGTTGCTAAAAGTTTCTACAATCCATCATTTAGAACTGACAAGAAGTATGACGGTGTCCAAACCAAATCCTGAACATCTCACAGTTTACACATACTTAGAGGAAATGATGGATACTAACTTCTTACTGGACTTTCCCCTTTGCCTTAAAAAAATTATGTGCACCAGGCTGCTATTTAAAAGCTTCAGAGCAGGGCCAGTCCAGAGGGGGTTGGTAATCCTAAAGGATTACAGTCTGCTAAAGATTAAACAAACAAACAAAAAGGAAACAGCAACAAAAAGGCTGAGCGCAAGTGGTCATTTTACCAAGCATGGTCCATCCATCTACTTCTAATATGTAGTAAAACCCCTCCATCCAATTGGTAGAATTCCCAATTTCTGGGAATCACAAGTGGAAAGAGGCTGTTGTACTTAGATCCTGTCTTTCTTCAGGCTTCCCATAGCCAGTGCTTTTTTTTCTGGGGGGGCACAGGGGTACACAAACCCTTAAACATTTTGTGAATCTAACAGAAGAAGAAACTATTTTAAAAAATTAAAAAACAAGTTTCTTCTCTATCACTGTGAATCTCCAGTTCCGTTGCTACCCCCAATAGCGGCCTCATTTCCTTTCACAGTGTTTCCAGAGTCTCAGACAGAAGTGAGCGTTTAATGTGTGAAGCAGCTGTATAACATGACATAATGCATGTTCTTTGTACTTTTGTCCATTTACTGTATTTATTTCCCCCCTATTTGAACTATAAAATGGTGACTTTCTTGAGTCAAAAAGACAGTACCTCTAAACATATTTTTTTTTAGCACTGCCCACAGCCATCTGCTCAACCACCTTGAGAACTTGATGCTGAACTCGAAGGGCCATTGGCTTTTCTTATGTTCTTAGCTTGACAGAGGCTACCAAGATGCTGAGGGTGGAAGCTTCGTAGTCTCTATAGGCCAGGGCTAAGGAACCTGTAACCCTTTGGGTGTTGCTGGTTTCCATCAGCCCTCACCAGCCTAGCCAAGGATAAGGGGTGGTGGTATTTGTAGGCCTGCGGCACCTGGAAGTCCAAAGAGTTGGTATACGCTCTAAGACCAAAATGCTCCCGAGGAAAATTGGTCACACCCTTCATATGTGGCCTTAGGCGACTAAATAAATTCTTCTGAGTTCAGTTAGTTAGAATGCAGAAGGCAATACCGTCCTACCTCAAAAGAACCTTTGATGAGAACAGCATTAAAGATTTAAGGCATTTAGACACTTTAGTTAATAACAGCCACATACGTGTCGTTGACTAATTAGGTAGATCAAGCAGATAGGCTGACAGAATAAAGTAGTTACCTTGACAAAAAAAGGAAGGAAGGTTATCGCCATGAAGGCTGAAAGCAGTGCTTAATTGTTGCAATTAATATATTTATTGGAAATATAAAAATACAGAAGGTCAGTCTAAGTGGTATGAGCCCTTTAGATTCAGACACTGGGCACAGCACATGCTGTTACATTTGTCTTACGGAATGAAGTGTGTGTCTCCTTTCTCCAAATAGTAGCCCCATCAACACCTTTCAAGTTGTAAAAATGGTTGTTCCCTAGTGCTTCTCCACATTGGTAAAAGTGACTTCTAAGATTCCCAAATAATAAGCGCTTTCCCCTAGTTGTACAGCCAAGGTAAAAGCACAATTCATATCCCAGAATTAATCTTTGTTGAGATCATATAATATTTAATTGGTTAATTAATCCATTAAATGCAAGGATGTTCATAGACTTTAAAAACGTTATTCAGCTGACAGAGCTAAGTATTAACTTCATTGCTATTTTTATATTACAGACTGGGCGAAGTGCTTGATTCATTCAAGTGTGGCCCTTAATCATTCCTCAATGAATACCAGTAACTCCTCCTTTTTCCTCCAGGTGCAATAGATTATTTGACATGTTCTGCTAGCATCTCATGCACTGAAGTCAGGATTACATCTTTGAATCCCTAGCCTCCACTTTTCAGCTCCCAATTTGACATCTATGTGGTTGCATGCATAACAGCCCCATAACTTGAAGACAGAATCATAGAATCGCATAGTTGGAAGGGATCCCAAGGGTCATTTAGTCCAATTCCCTGCAACACAGGAACCACAACACAGAATCATAAAATTGTAGAGGTATAGGGTCAGGAATCCAAGATTTCTTTACCTAATTGTTTCAGATTCTTTATCTGCCACCCTGGGCTATTTGGCAGGATTCAATAAATAAAAAAATGAAAGTATGACACCCTTAACTATAACTTGTATTTGCAGGGGGGTTGGACTAGATGACCGTTGCGGTCCCTTTCCAAATCTATGATTCTGAAAATGTTTACTTGAACTTGCAGCCTTACCTTTGTATTTGTGTCAGCATCTATGTATTTGTAGCTGAGGTTGAGCCTGTGCTCTGGAGATGCGGCTGGCTTTAGAGATGTGCTCCATCGGTGCATGTGGCCTCAACCTCCTCACAGACAGAGAAAGCTAACAGGTCTATTTGAACGAATCACTGAACATTTACAAGTTCCTTGCTGACCTTTCTCCAACAAACAACCTTTAAGCTCAACCCAGCCAGGCCTCTCTCTGAGCAATGAACACCCTCTCAAGTATCCCTTCTCAAAGGTACCTCCACCTTTATTACCACTTTACATCTTACTGGGCAAGTGGGTATATTTTACTGCAGTGAGCTAATAAGAATAAAGGGAAGAGAGGGGAAGGGGCATGAAACAGGTCCTAGAAACACTGAGGAAAATCTATTCGCCTCAGTCCTCCCAAGAACACCATTCACTTGCCCCATACAGAAACCAGTGTACTGGAAGATGCAAAGATCACCAGTGTTGAAGCAATGATTCTTCAACATCAACTTTGTTGGACTGGTCATGTTGTGTGGATGCCTGATGATCATCTTCCAAAGCAACTACTCTATTCTGAATTTTAAAATGGAAAGCGTAACGCTGGTGGGCAACAAAAGAGGTTCAAAGACTGTCTCAAGGTAAATCTTTAAAAATGTAGTATAAACACCAACAATTGGGAAACACTTGCCTGTGAGCGCTCCAATTGGAGAACAGCCTTTACCAAAGGTGCCATGGGCTTTGAAGACACTCAAACTCAGGATGCAAGGGAGAAACGTGCTAGGAGGAAGGCATGCTTGGCAAATCCACACCGTGATCAACTCCTGCTCATACACCAATGTCCCCACTTTGGAAGGACGTGTGGATCCAGAATTGGCCTCCACAGTCACTTACAGACTCACTGTTAAAACCATGTTTATGGAAGACAATCTTACTCGGCTATGAGTGATCGCCAAAGAAAGAAGTCAGACAACATAGCTGATCAAAACTGATTCTGCAAGGCAGATGGATCCATGTCAGGAAAGCTCTGGAGATAAATGTTCAACACAGGCACAGCCAACAGGATGCTCTCCAGATATTGCTGGACTACAATTCCAATCATCCCTGACCACTAGCCATGCTAGTGTCGCACTGTTGCGCAACAACACCCGAAGTGCAGCATGTTGGCTACTCCTTATCTAACAGCATCACTCTCCCCAGCAAGTGCAGTCACTTGTGGCAAAAACCTGAACATGTATTCTCCTATTCATATTTAAGCACCAGTTCAGCAGTTTTATGCAAGCAGACAAATAGCTGACCTTCAGGGCTGAAGTTAATGTCTATTTCTATGGTTAACTCCCATCCACTCCAATAGGCCTATTTATAATAGAAAGATGTTTCAAAGGTTTGAAATGTGCACAAGGTCATGTTAGTAGCGCTGCTAACAATTCCTCCTCCTTGCTATTGAATTAAGACCAAGAAGTCTCTTATCTCTTGTTATAAAACAATCAAAGCAGTCAAATACAGTAGTCAAGCCCTGAGATAAGCCTTGTCTTTCCACATAGGGCTTAAATGTGAGAACTACGACTGCTGTTGCCATTATGTAAAAATGCATTACAAAATTGCTAAGCCTTCAATTTCCATCCAATGTTTGTTTTGAGAAGAGCATCTTGGAAGAAATCAATTGTTTTGAAGGACAGCCCGACACACTTCCTCTGTGACTGGAGCCTTTAAAAGAAAGCCACTGATGTCTCACCTATATGTATATTGCTGCCCTTTACCAGCCATGCACTATAGGTACAAGCATACATTTTTCTACAGATATGTGAATAATGTGGGTCCTCTGGTTGTCCCTTCAGATCATTAAAGATGCCTTGGGAGAGAAGCTAGCATGCTACCACAAGGCACCACAAACCCCAAAGGCAACAGATTCATTCCTAACAACTTGGAGTGGTTTTATTTCTTTTGTAAATTGGGAAGATGGTGAAACTTACGCTCCAGCCAGGTGTATACACAGATATGGAACTCATAAAACGTTCGTTTGGATTTGTAAACAGTATGCCAGCATCGGGAGGTGAAACTTGTAAGGATAGGGAAGAACTCTGCTTGCCCGATGGAACAATCTCTCCTCTCCTTCCACTGTGTGCTATTCTCCTGACACCCCCTCCCTGAGCCAGTTGGGGGAACAGCAGGGGTGAGGCGGGGGAACCCAAGTGCGCTAGCAAAAATTATTGTGCAGGCTTCTGGTAGTGGGGATCATTAGTTGAATCCTGCTCATAGTTCCCAGGATGACTGAATGTTAAGAGAAATGCAAAAATATAATAACAAAAATCCTTCTCCTCACTTGCACCTGGGATTTGATGGTCTCATGCACTGTGATGTGTGGTTACATTGTTTGGATGTGTTTGTGATGTATATATTGTTTTGGAATGTTATTTGTTTTTAAAAATATGAAGTTTGTTAAATTATTGTTTTTCAAAATATGCCAGGCAGGTACACAAGTTCCCCTGATTTCATCTGTTTTTCTTCCAGACCAACAAATATAACCTGATTTTCTGCAAGTGCACATCATCCCAAAGGGAGTTTTTGAATTCTAAATGCAACCCCCACTACTACGACTACAGTTTTCACATTTTTACAATAACACAGTTCAAACCTCCATGCCCCAACTGCCGCCGGTCTCTATAATATCCAGCTATGTTTCACAGCATCCCAAGTCTCAGGCCAATTATTCTTGGTTGGTTTGTTCACCGATTCTTTATTCTTTAGTCACGTGGTATGCCACATGTTCCTTAAGCAAAAGCACCACCTCTTATTCCTTTTATATGTTTATATAATTTAGCCGCCATTTCCTGTCCAAACAACACACCAAATCAACTAACACTAACACCATAAAAGTATTACAGCTCAATAAAAGAAAACGGAGGATTCTTTTTCCCCAAATGGCTCTGGGTTGATGCAGTCTTAAAAGCAGACTTTGATAATTTGCTGAAAGACCTATTTTGGGGAGTGAGAGATCTTTATTATTGACATTATGTTGAATTAATATTGAAATCACATTTTACAATCTAGTATTCATACAGCTACCAATTCAAACAACATTTTGGCCCATGGGTTCTCCTTTCACACACTACACTTGACAAGAAATCACATATAATTGATACAGAAATGAAATTTATAATCATCATCATCAAATCTGTCTATGCCTCCACAGTCCCTTTCTCTAGCAACCAAGAGAGCCAGTGTGGTGTAATGATTAGGGAGTTGGACTAGGACTTGGGAGACCAGGGTTCAAATCAGCCATCAAGCTCTCTGCGTGACCTTGGGCCAGCCACCATCTTTCACTGAGTTGTCCCGGAAATGATACGGAGAGCGGGGAAAGTCATGCATGCCACCTTGAACTCCTTGGAGAAAAAGGTGGGATATAAAAAATAAAAATAAAATAATCAATCAATCAATCAATCAATCCAGGAGAGAAGTGTTCAGTCTCCACCCATGCCTTGTTTGGCTTAGTACTCCAGCAAGGGCAGATTACTGTCCTCAGTGGAAGCAGAAAACTTTATTGACCAGGAGTCCCCCATTTGCCCAGGACGTATGTCTCCTTGGCTGCTCCCAATAATACACAGATGCTTAGTGACTGGTATATAAGTGATTAGAGATATTTGATTGCTCTCTCTTGCCTCCAGCTGCTATACTGTATTAAGAGGAGATATCTGCATTACACCATCATTCCTCCATGTCAGCAATCTGCAGTCATGGCTTCGGGTGTATTCTGTGGCCACAAATTGAAGGGAGAACATCTTGTGACACTCACTCTCATAGAAAACGTTGGTGAATCCCTCACATATGTGATATCTGAAAACAGCCCCCATCACCAGTGCCGGATTTACATATAAGCTGAACAAGCTATAGCTTAGGGCCCCACTCTCTTGGGGGCCCCCCAAAAAATTAAAGGGGAAAAAACTGGATGTACATTTCCAAAATACAAGATAAGAAACAAATAAAACAAAACCTACATACAGTAACAGTGTTTTGTGTTGTGTAGGCTCCTATGATGTACCGTATTTTTCGCTCTATAACACGCACCCGACCATAACACGCACGTAGTCTTTAGAGGAGGAAAATCCGTAGGCATGCCACCCGTAGGCATTCCCTCCATAACACGCACAGACATTTCCCCTTACTTTTTAGGAGGAAAAAAGTGAGTGTTATGGTGCAAAAAATACGGTAAGTCATGGGCCCCGCCTGCTAGCCTGCTCCCTAAAATATCACTGGTTTGCTCATTTCTATATATAGGGTGCCTACATTCTGCATGGACTGGTTGCATGGCAACACATGCAAATGGCTTTAGATACCTATTAGGTCCATAAATTACCATATAGCATATATTCAACACAAAAAACAGCAACCATTTGTTGTTGACAAAGGACAGTTGGACATATAAAGGGCCCCATTACCTTCCGTAGCTTAGGGCCTCATCAAACCTAAATCTGGCTCTGCCAATCACACACACACACACACACACACAAATAATGTCACCACTATGTTCCATGAAACTTTCTAAAGATAGTCTTAATAAGTACACAAGCTAAGAAAAGACGAGGAAGGTCCCGCCTGAGGACGTACCCAAAAATATCACTGAGAAGACAGAAGAGAGAGAACTGCCAACTTCATCTCATTGTCCTGTGCTCCAAATAAAGATACATCCAGTATCTGCCCTCTTCGTCACAACTTAAGGGGGGGAAACTTAATAGGAAATCTAGTCCTAGTTGCTGCATGGGCAAAGGATGACAGACAAATCTTATCAAAGATTCCTCATGTAAACTGGGAGCAAGGAGAGGGATAGACAGGGGAGAAGAATCTGTTTTAATGCCAAAATAGTATCTTTCTCCTAACCTTTGTCTTTATAACATTTTTTTCTTCCTTCATGGAGTCAACCCATATATTAGCTTAGAGGGCATGGTAAAAAAAAAAAAAGAATACTGGCATGAATTAATGACCCCTTCAGATACTTCTTTGTTCTCACAGATAACGATTTTGCCTGTGGACAAAAGGAAAGTGTGAATTTGTATGAGGGTGTTTGGGGAAGGGTAGTGTGTCTATGGAGGGACGCAGGTGGCGCTGTGGGTTAAACCACAGAGCCTAGGACTTGCCGATCAGAAGTTCGGCGGTTTGAATCCCCGCGACGGGGTGTACTCCGTTGCTCGGTCCCTGCTCCTGCCAACCTAGCAGTTCGAAAGCACATCAAAGTGCAAGTAGATAAATAGGTACCGCTCCGGCGGGAAGGTAAATGGCGTTTCTGTGCGCTGCTCTGGTTCGCCAGAAGCGGCTTAGTCATGCTGGCCACATGACCCGGAAGCTGTACGCCGGCTCCCTTGGCCAATAAAGCGAGATGAGCGCTGAAACCCAGGGTCAGTCACGACTGGACCTAATGGTCAGGGGTCCCTTTACCCTTTACTTTACCTAATGTGTCTATGGGTGTGGCTGAATCTTGGACCTTCTGCATGTAAAGGCCCCAGGCAGCAGATATTATAGCATTTAATTTTCAAAACATTGTTTTTCTAAAGAATGTTTAGGAACAATATGCCTTCTTTCTAATTTGCCACCAATGACACATTGGGCTGTAACCACTGCTAGTCCTACTGAGAGTAGACCCACTGAAGTTAGTAGACGTGTGTCTGGAGCCCTGGAGAAATGCTGCCAGTCAGTGCAAGCAGTGGCCTAACTCAGCATAAGACAACTTTTTATTTACCTATGTTTACTGCATAGCCAACATTTGGATGGAAAATTGCTAGGGAACCCTGAGCACTCCACACTAAGGTCCTGTGGTGGGGGTGGAGGCTAGGATATCAACGCACATTAACAAATAAATTTGCAGTCTCTCTCGCAGATGCAGACGCCAGCAGCTGCTCAACAGCTGAACTGGAAACAACAACTCCTGCTGGGAATCACAGTTCACACTTTGCCTTCATCCAGCCCTACCTCATATGCCACCACTAAGTGGCTCTGAAGTAGCTGTCCACTGTGCTACCTGGACAGCATCCAGGATGTCTTCCGACAATTGTTGAAAGCGTTTCCATTGGAATTAAGTTACAGACCGTGCTGTTCTAATGCTATTATTATTGCAAAGCCATCAACCAAATAACAGAAGGCCATTCCAAGCTGCCGCTCTTACCTGACACAACGAGGACAACTTGGCAATAAATCCTCTCAGTTCCTTGGCAAGAGCCAGTCGGTGTCTCTCGCCTGCTTCCACCGCCCTGTTCACTCCTTATTTTAACCAACAATTGTGACATAAAGGAATTTCAGATAGATTGCACTAATCAGGTGGAATTGCATTTGATTGAAAACGGAGAAATTGCTACCGGTTCTATACGAAACAAAGAAAGATTGGCCTTCCCCCTCTTCGCTTTTCTGCTCAGTAGAATCTAGAGATTAAGTCAATAGACAAAAAAATCATCACAGAATGGGGGTGTATCTACCAAGCCCAACAAATAAACTGTAATTACTGATTAGGAATGTACAGGAAAGGCATAACCGACAAGAGGCTATTATTATTTTGTTGGACTTGTGTATTTATTATTTACTCAATAAATCTGTTAGATGCCTTTCGAAATGCCGTCCTACCCAAAGGCAGCTTGCAAGATCTGATGAAATCAGCTAAAAACATATACAATATCTCAATAATGCAGCATGCGATAATAAGCAGGAGTGAATGCACACCATCAATTTCAGCAAGTCACTCAACCTAGAGGCTAAAACAGGCCACTCAGTAGAAAATAATACATAATCTAAAAGAAATGTAGGAGCAGATGGGGCTCATCAACCTGGAAAGATCGCCCGTCTAGCCTTGTGAGATATCTTTGGGAGAAGAAAAGGCTGAGGAGTAAACCGTACATAAATCCAGAGTGGAGTCTCTAAGACAGTTGGATGGTGCCTCCTTCTGGCAAATCCTGCAGCCAAGCTGGTGCCAAACATATTACTCTGATTTCTTTTGGATCGCATCAGCGAGGCTGAGAGGCAGGTCTTGTCATCTGGGGTCCCAGAACCTCCATACACACTGCCCAGGCTTGTGCCCCAGGAGGTTACTTCAGTGCTGCTGACGAAGTGGTTTGACTTCACCTCTGGGTGCGCACTCCCACTGTCTCTCGAGACAGATGCCAACAAAAGAAATATGGAAGAAAAATGTTTCAAGGCCCACCTAAATGACAATAAGGAGGGGTTCAATCTGTCAATTGTATTTGCCGAGAGACGACGTTCCCAAACTGTGAGGCCACAACTGAAAGGCCCTGTCTCACATGACGATAAAAACTGACCTCCTTTCTGTGTATGAATGTGTTTGGTGGCGGGCAGGAGTAGCTTCATCAAAACAAAAAAGAGTTGAGCGTCTGCTAGAGAACTGCCACACACAAAACAGCATAGTATGCACTGCCAGTTAGCAATAAAACATCCAGAAGTGAAAAACTACTTAAAAGATTTTTGAAATATGTGGCTAAATGCTTTCTTTAAGCCCTTTTTTTCCTATAAAAGGATGAAGTGAATCTTCCAACACATTTTCAGTAATAAAAACTAAATAAATATCCCATTCATCACTTAAGATTCCATTTTAATTCTAGTAAGACAAAAAAGGTAGAAAAATACTATCCATTTCATCTGTTTATGAACTTAAATCTCAACCACTGCTGCACAGTATTATATTAGAAAAGCAAAATACATTTAAGATGTGAAGCAGATTTATCATGACAATGGGCACAATTCCAGAAAACAGTGGAGTTAATTTAAATCACGTTGGTTTTCATAGAATCAAAGTATAACAAGTGTGAGTTGAATTGTCTGCAATCATTTACTAAAACTAGCTTCAGATTCAAGTGGAAGCTAATTGGTTGACAAATTGTACTGAAGCCTACTTTGTTTCAATGATCAGGCTTATAAGACAGAGAAAAACTTGGGTACCAGGAATCCCTTTAATGGGTGGAACTGGCAAGAGGAAGGATGATTGGGCCTGATGGAAGTGTATGATCACTGGTGAGACAAAGGGTAGGATTCAACTAACCAGTCCTGCTAGCAGAAGCTTCCACAAAGCGCTCTCCCTCTCACAATATCTCTCCCCCCCCCCACTCCAAACTGTCTGGGGGAGGGGCTGGAAGAACCCCCAGAACAGGATGCAGGGGGGAGGTGAGATCGCTTCATCAGGCAAGCAGAAATTCATGTGCTGATGGAGCAATCTCCTTAGCGCTGCACTGAATTCCTTCCAATGGGTTGCATCCAAGGCGAGTCCTAGTTTGCAGAAATATTACTCATTGAGGCGCAATGGCCAGAATCAAAAGAAGAAACATGAAAGGTTAGGCCTGTGTCATGCCAAATTTGCCAAGCTATCGTTTATCACAGGATTGGTTCCCGACATAATACATTCCATTGAACATAAAGCCATAATAAAACAGAATACTTAAAACCAACTATTAATAAAATACAGCAGGGCAGACAAACAAAACCCTGAAGCATTAAATAGCATCAGCTGATTTCCTCCAAAGGCTCACACGCCACCAATCTTCACACGCTGCCAGAGCCGTTTGCTGCTTTTAAAGCAACCAGCATGTCTCTGTGGCATTGGAAAATGGATGCAACAGAAAACGAGTCTGCATGCATGGGTCTCCTCCCGAAAGAGCCTGTTCCTCCTTAGACACTGGCAAATTTTACGGTTCGGCACGTTACCTTGCAAGGGGTAGGCAACGTTCTTTTTCTCTTACCTGAATATGCCCAGTAAAGATCCCCAGATGCCTTCCGCCGCCGAATTTGCACTGAGCTGCCATGCCTGCTTTCATGCAGGGAGCCGTCATAACCTTCAGTCAAAGCTGAGGAGGGAAAGGAAGAAGCACAAGCTATTAGCCAAGTGACAGCCACTGACTGAAAATTAAATCATTTAGGCATTATTGGAATCATTAGATCATCAGATCAACAGCCTCTGTACAGCTGAAAATAACAGAACTCAAGGCACAGTTATTACGCTGATGAATTAATCATCATGTGACAGAGCTCCTTTCCCTGCCTGCCCCTCGCCAGACAAAACTTACTGGCAGACATGATACCTTCGGCAGATCACCCCGACACAGCAGGATGAATAACCCACTAGCAATAAAGCCACTCTCCTGACGAATACCAAAAAGGAAAAGCTACTCTTAAACAAAGTGACTTTGTGTGGGTCAACATGAATGCCACTCCGTCTCACACAGGCAGTAGACCCCAAGTATATGTAGGGACACGACGTGGGTGCGGCAGCTGGACAGCAACCTCCTATAACTTTAGGAAGCTGACCTCTCTGGACAGCAAACTCCTATAACTTTAGGAAGCGCATTTCTGTGTCCTCTGACCCAATGCCAACTTGATCTGCACTTTGGAGACATGTGCAACCTTGCACAGACCCTGTACTATCTACAGGACAGTCTGCTGCAAAGTCACACCACCACCATGGCAAAAGCATAATCGGTTTTCTTCCCACTCCTTCTCTCCAAATCTGTCTGCAGGGTCCAGTTTTTGAAGGACATCACCAGCAGGGTTAATGGGGCATTGAGGTATTGTCTGCTACTGCCAACCCCATAGGATTAAAGGGAGAAGAGGCCTGCACTGTGTTAGGTTTAGGGAAAGAAACGGAAAAGAGCATAAGGATGGTAGCATTCCCTACAGCGACTGATCAGAAGGGCAAACCCAATAAATAGTCTTGCAGTGTGTCCTCCACAGCTAAAATCCTATAAGCCTCCCCTATTAAAGGGAAGCTGTGGTGAATTTTTATATACTCATTCATTTACATGAACACGCATTTAGAACTGCTTGCGGTTTAAAAGTGAGACAGAGTTTATAACATATAATCTATCAAGGAGGATGGAATAGCAAGCCCCAAGTGCTAGCCATTATAGAAAGGTGGATATTTTCCCACTTTTAGTGGGTTGTGTGTGTGTTTTTTTAAAATGAGGCATTCTGTTGCTGATTTGCTTCTGTTCGTTGACAAGATTTTTGAGACCTCCTTAAAAAAACTGAGGGCAAGTTTACCTTCAAAAATTAAATAAACCGGATTCATCAGTAACAAAAAATATACTAAGGAAACTTGCTGCATTGTTCCTTCTGTGCTTCACTGCAGTTTCCTTGGGCTTTTTGTTTAAAACTTAGCATGTTTTATTTTCTTTTAAATTAGAACCCCACATTTGTGGAGCTGCTTTAGGCATGCAAATCTTTGTTTATTGCTTCTATACACTTGGCTGAACAAAACTAGAGGTGTAGGGCTTCTGAAAAGGCAGAATCCCGGCTTGAAAACAGAACGCAGCTCCCTCTCACAATAAGCAGACACACACACACACACACACACACACACACACACATAGCCAAGGCTGAATTGTGCAAACAAAATGAACCGAAATGTGTTTGGTTGTCTTTTTCAATGAACAGGAAGAGAGATAATTATCAATGCATTAAAGAAGGACCAAGGTGAACAAAGTCCTACTCAGAATCAATCACTATCTCTGTTAGCTAAGTAGGTATGTGTTGTGTAGAGGTGCTGGGAGAGGAGGGCAAAACTGAAGAAAGGGGAAGCAGAAGTAGATTCCTATGGCTAGGAGCTTTCCCCACCCCCAGTATAAGTTTTTTTAAAACACCCTCTAAGTTCCTTGATGGGCCAGCAGCTTGACTCCCTGCTTGCCTCCTGGTGCAGCTACCTGCCTGGGTAGGACATTTTACCTCCATATGGTCTACCTTCTCGTGTTCCTATAAACTGGAGATATGAGGCAAAGCCAGGGCAATGGTTTACAGGTAGACAAGCTTTATCTTCCCTCTGCCTTGTCATCTCCACATCAAATTCAAGCAAACTACCAAGGAATGTGACGTGAACATGCTCCTGTCACACTGACAAAAGGAAAACGACGCAACCTGGCATGTAAAATGGCTGCCACTTTTCGGAGAAAGGGGAAATGCAGCGGCTAATAATTCCTTAGTCACAGGCCCTCCAAAAGACATTTCAGTGGCACAAGGGTAAAGAGAACAGGTTTAAACAGTTTATAGATTCTGAGGAGAAAACACTCCCGTCAGCACTCAAAATTTAATCAATTGTAAAATCCTTTGTACTCGGGAGCCTGAGTAGTCAAAGAATGGCAGCATGGCAATTCTATGGTATGGCTATGAATCATGCTATTGATTTCCAGTATCTTCTGTGCAGAAAATTAAATTATGCAAATCCAGGCCTTTATGAATCCTTTACTTTAGTGGTGTGAAATTGAGCACTTGCTTAAGTCAGCATCTTATTTATGCAATTAAAAATTTGACGCTCTTCTGAAAATGTGCAGTTTCACTCTCCTCTCAATAGACTCCTGAAACAACAATAAATCTAAGTTTATAACAGGTAAGCAGCTGTAATACACAAGGATGCTATACTGGCAAAAGGTGCGCTCGCGCTCTCTCTCTCTCTCTCCCTCTCTCTCACACACACACACACACACAACAGGACTGGTGGGGCAGGTTGGAATTTTCTTCTAATGCATTTTCTATAAGTGTTCAACAAAATGTATATATTATGTACCCAAACAGCACACTGCTGAGTTTTGCGCGAACCAGGCCACTGTCTCTTCTGTCAGATGCTTCCACTTCCATCAAATACACCCACATTTATCAATTACCATCCTTTCCGAAAACACTCTACTGGAAATATCCATCATCATCATCAAACCTTTTATTGGCATCACACACAAACATCCACGGTGACATCCAGGGCAGTTCCTTCGCCCCGCCGGTGCCGCCCATGAGAAAGGGCGAGGCCTTTCCCTCTGGGCCCAATCCTGAGGAGAATTCTCCTCAGGTGCCTTGCGGCGGGGCGTGTATGTGAATGGCGGGGGGGGGGGGAGAAGAAGCGGAGGCGACCATTCCTTTTCCGGTCACCTTCTCCCTCTCACAGACGGGTCTGGAGTGCCAGGAACACAGCAAGGCAGGCAGGCAATGGCCCTTTAAGCCGCCTCACACCGCTGCCTGGCCCTGCGCAACTGAGTGGAGGCGAGGAGGGCGGCGGTGGAGAGGGGCTGCTGCTGCTGCCCCAGTTGTGGGTGCTGTCTGAAAGTTCCAGAAATCTCCCACTTGTGGTTGTGGTACTGCACAGCGGCGGCACTTATTAGTCTGCTGTTCTTCTGGATCCCATCCTCAATGTGCTGCAACAAGGCTCTCTGTGCAAGTGATGTCAGCAAGTGCTTAATACAGGAGCTGTGTCAATGCCGGCCTGTTGAAGGGAACTGTTCCTGTTGCAAGGAGCGCATGTTGTGTCTGGGCACACTGTGGGACGAGTGCTGTGACTGTGTTGGTATGCGCAACCCTCGCAATTATAGCGACACACCTCCCACGTCCAAGAGCACCATTGAAGAACTGCACAGGCCAATCTCCTCTCTTTTCTGAGCGCTTACTGAAGGGGACACCCAGCTACACTGGAATACTGAAAATATTGTACTGAAGCTTATGTGGAACAATAGATCCCCTCACATTTCAAAGGCTGAAGTATTTTTCTCATGCCCAATTTCCCCTTATTCTAATCAACATTAAATGTCAGATCCAACACACCGTCTAAAATGACTCTGTCTCATGTCACACGTCTATAGTCAGCAGAAGCGGTGAAATTCTGCACTGTTTATTTAACATTCTAATTGGCTTCGCATTTGCTTCATCTCATATTAACATTTTCAATCAAATGCATTTGATAAGTGGCCCTCAAAGGTACAATAAGGCAATTCCTCCCTGAATATCTTTGCTGACATTTGGAGTTCCTGCTGAAAAAAAACATATTCAGAAATTGGTTTCTCCACGCACATCTATTCTGCATATAAACAAAAAAAAAATTGCATGTCTGATATTTTACATGTTGTTATTCAAACACTATCAATTACTCATTAGTGTAAAGGCAAAATAAAACCTCAAGCTGATCACTCAACCTTTACTGTTAAATGATTTCACAATTCATTCTTGATGTTAGATTCACTCCCACCTACAATTCCTGCCAAACTGTACTTGAAATGATACCTTACTTAGAATAATTGCACTGATAGAATTAAATAGATTCTTAAGCCAATTTAGAAATGTAACACAGGCATTTTGCACCAGTTAAATCACTGGTCTCTGCACACACCTCTAGCACCAGTAACCTTACATGTCATTATGAATTAAACCTGCATAACGTAACTGAATTTACCAGCATAAACACCAATTGTGGTTGGCATTTAGATCAGAGTAGCATCAGCATAATTGCATAAAGTATTTAATTTCTGCCCCACACCCATATTTATGGCACAGCATATAATTTCAGACTTACCACCCTTGCAGCTACTCTTTAAATAAACATACACAAGATGTGTGCTTTTTCTAGAGGCACATTTTATCACCAATAGTATCTGGGCATGTAAGTGGTTTTAACACCCTTACTTTAGCTTGGCTCACAGAAATCACTTATTTGTGTCTGTGAGTCTGAAAACTGATTCAAAGAGAATTCAAATCATATCTCCTGGAACAGGGAAACAACAACCCATCTTCTTTTAAATCCTGAGTCCAGGCAAAGGGCAAGATTAGCTGTAGAGTAAGAATTGGCCAAATTGGGACCCCCTTATGGCTATCAGGAGCTGGGCCTCTCCCTGATCCACATAAAAGTAGGATTGCCCCGCTTTGTTTGCTACCATCTACTCACCGTTAGAGGAAAGGGAAAAGGGGATATGATAGCAGAGAGTGAAAAGCAGAAGGCTGCTTCTGATCTCAACATGGGCAGAATCTTGCAGGCATGGGGTCTAAACCCCATGTGTTTGTCTTTATCAAACGGTGTGCATGAGTAATGGCAAAAGGGTCAGTGCAGGGTATGAAGTCCCAGAATATGGTTCAGGATAAGGGCCCCTCACCCCAGCTCCCTGAAGGAGCACAGCAGGATCCAGGAAAAGGAGAGAAAGTTCCAGTGCCTAGTTCCATTTTGAAGTTCATAATAATAAATGCTATTTGTAACCTACACGTACATAATATATATTCATAAATACTGGACCACAAAAAACAAGGCATTTTGTTCCATGGCTCATTTTTTTATTTTAGACACAGAGTTTGGGGGTGAAGGATTCAGTTTAAGAGAGCAGAGACTTAAACTTAGGTTTCACTTTAAATTAGGCTATTTTTAAAGAGCATGCATGAAATAGGAAAATGTTAAAACCTCATTTTAATATAAATCATTTTTGCTTTTAAAAAAAAATGTGTTTTATCCGTCATGGTGGCATCACCCAATTTTTATATTGAAATGTTTTGACTCTCACTGACATGAACAGTAAAATCACAAGGGCTAGATTGCTGGTGATTAGAATGCTTCAAAATGATGGGGAGGTTGGAATCCTGTTTTGATTTGTACTTAGGATAGTAGTCCAGCATTTGAGGCAAGAGACCCTGTTCACATAAATGGAAAGGAAGAAGTAGTGTCTAAGAACTGAATCTGTACTCATCGTCTACCCTTTGAGCTCTTTATATGAAGGGTGCACTTGTCTAAATTTTGTTCAGGCTGAGGAAATGCTCCCTGTGACTTCGCTGCCCTAGATCAAGACAATTTCACTGGCAAACCAACCTGCCTGCACACTGTGCCTCTTGTGATGTCATCCTTCTTAGAACTATAACTGAACAATGATGTAACAGGTCCGCCATAAGAAAATCTCTTTTGGCAGATCAACTGAGGTTTCTTCTGGCCTTCCTGGGAATTGGTTCAGTTTGTTCCAAACAGTGTTTGAAGTAGAGACTGAGCAAAAGGATGTGACAGATGATGGTCTAGATAACCAAAAAGTGCCAAAGGAGGCTTCAAAGCTGGCGGAACTGTCTTTGGAGCCTTGGACTGATGTCAAGACTCCATTTCAAGAACATCAAGGCCAGTCTTATCCTGCTAAGCAGTCCAATAATGCAGACGTCTGCAGTTGGCCAAAACACTGGCACTGCCAGCAGATACGGCCTTCTTCACGACAAGCCAATGAGGTTGGAAAGGGGCATGGCTGGCCAGATTATGGAGGACTTATCCAGCCACAACCTAGTTCTCTACATGTGGGAGGATGCATTTGTGAATCATATGTTACAAGCTGCTGTAAAAAAGCAGAGAAAACTCACCCAGTGTTTCACATCCATGGAAACCAGAAGCCCAAGTTCAAGGCAAAAATGGAAAGCCAACGATTTCAAAAGAGAAGATTCAAAACCAGATGTCAGAAAGGCCCTGCTCAATATAACAAATATACTTGCTCAACGTAGCTGCCGATTTTGCCCACTTTCTAACTTTGGAAGAAGTAAGAAACCAAGAATTGGGGTCAAAGCTAGGAGCTTGAGAAAGCATTGAAAGCCAGCACTCAACAAAGTCTGGGGAGGCCTTGGTAAGACACGCATTTCTCTGCATGAGTGATTCTCCCTCCTGAATTTTGAAGCCAAAACTGAATGTTTAAGAAATAGTCAGTGTAAGCTACATCAGTGCTAAGGATTTTTTCCAAGGCTGCTCCACTACATTCAACTTAATTTCACAATAAAGTTTTAACTGTAAAACTAATAGTATTGGAAGGGTTTTAAAAGAATCCTAACAACTCAAGAGTAATTTATTTGATTATTATCTTGCCATTTCAATACAGAATAATTCCATATTCTCTGCACCTCCATTCCCTCCCCCCCCTCTCTGTGGAGCTTAGCTCTGGTGGTTAGAGCATGGTGCTAATAATACCAAGGTTGCAGGTTCAATCCCCATATGGGACAGCTGAATATTCCTGCATTGCAAGGGGTTGGACTAGACGATCCTCAGGGTCTCTTCCAAGTCTACAATTCTATGAAATGCCTCCACACATTCCTATCATCATCTCCTGCTTGGATTTCTAAAACAGATTTTGGGGGGGAGCACAAGAATCTCTTATAAGCCCCTGTAGTGCGCGCAGAAGCATCGCTCACTAGTTCCACTCACTGTGCACAACATAAGGCATTTTTTTAAAAAAATATAATAACCCCCTCCCCATAAGAAATACAAAAATGTCCCAAACCAAGGGTTTTTTATTCATTATGAGTGGCTGTAGAGTTCTTCCAACACCAACAAAAACGTATGCAACTCTAGCAGAATAAGTCTCAACCCTCTTGTCACCATCATTTGTCAAGGAGCCTGCTCCCTCTGCAACAGCAAGGAGGCTAAGACACATCACCTGAACTTTGCAGAAACCCAGAAGACAATGGTCTCCTTTAAGTTTCCTTCTAGCAGGAAGAGAAATGTCTCAAGTTTCTTCCATAAGATAAGCACTTTGCAAGTATCACTATTCTGTGAATATGCTAAACCTGAGAAATTCAGGCTCTTGTTTGAATGGATACTGACTGGCTTTTCCCCATGCTAGCCCCCTCACCCCCCACCCCAGGACATCCCAGAACATAAAAACAACTAGTTTTGAACAAAAGCTCTGTCAATTCCTGCCCAAATTGAGCCCACGCTGTTGGCATGCTAAGAAATACAGGTCCTCACTGGAACTGATTTTTGGATTTCTACCCGGCATAAGGTTTGTTAGAAAACACTGTTTGTTTTCTTTCAATGCAACTTTGCTCTTGAATCTCCAACAATCATATTAAATGACCATCATCTAGACCTTGTTAGAACAATTTAAGAATGCGACATTCAAATCAGTTAGTACACATTAGGGTCAAGAGCACGTGTAAAAGAAGCACCTCTCAGTGCTCCTACTGCCCAGGGCGGGCAGAGGCCTGACAGTCTACATATTGTAATTAACAAAGGGCCTAAATCTGCTACTCTCTAAACATAACACTGAGAAAACCTAGGGTTTGTTGGTGATTCCAGTCTTCTGATTTTTTTTAAAAAAACCTATAAAAATCTTCACACACCACTGCAAGGGCACCACCCTTTTCCAGCACATGTACAAGCTGTACTTGTACATGTATAAGACTATGTTTTTTTCTTTAAAAATAATGCTTAAAAGTGGGGGTTGTCTTATACATGAGTAGTGCCTAGGGTGGACGTTTGATTGGTTACTGCTGAGGCTGTCAGCGGCTGTGGTGCGTGTTATTGGTTGCTGTGTCAATGGGTGGTGTTGATTGGCTGATGCTCCGGCAGTTGTACAGGTGACTGGCATCTTCTGCCAGCGATGGGACAGACGGGAGGTGGATTTAGCAACGTGTGTGGGTGAGCAATTTTCGGCAATCCCCACCCACCCAAAAAAACTCAACCACCCTGGGTAATCCTCCGCAAAAAAGCTAAACAACTCTGTGCCATCTCCCCCCATTTTCTTAAATTTGAGTCCCCCAAAATAGGGGACGTCTTATACATGGGGGCGTCTTATAGACAGAAAAGTACAGTATGTGCAGGCTTCTCTCCCTATTCTTATACAAACCTAAACAGGTACAAAGTTGTGTGGCAAACCACTGCCTGCTGAATAGACAGGAGCCCATTAGCAGGTCTTAGCTGTCCCCTCTGCACTGTGCTGTCATGTTAACAAGGGGCAGAACAAGAAGGCTGGAAGTGGACCTTGGTAAGTTACATAATAGTGCCTTCCCTAGAAAGCATCTCTCTCAAATGTCCTTCAGTGTAAGGAAAATACAGCCTTTGGCAGATTTCTGACAGAGAAATTGAAGGGGCTGTGAGGTGTTTGAGTGAGTACCGTTTTCCAAGGTCAAACACGCAAGTCAGCCCAGTTTAAAACACACATTCAAAACCTCATTTATTCTAGAGAGAGAGAAATGGAATTTACATGCTCTCTGTTGTAACTCATTGCACACTGCTCTCTTTTTACTGCATTTTATAATTTTTCGTTGCAGGCGGCATCCAACGAAACAGTTCCACTGTCGGCTGCGCAAAGGAACTTTCTCTCCCTCTCCTCTCGTCCCCGCTAAATCTGCTCCGGAGCATTGAAGGAACCCACAGAACAGAACATATTTAGGGAGAGTGAAGGGAAAAACACTCCAAAAGTGCTTGGACTAGTAGAAACTGTTTAGTTGGAAAACACCCCCTTTTTTCCAGAATGTGGGGGACCGAGAGTCATTTTGTGAATAAATTCTAATCATTATCAAGATTTCCCAGATTTATCAAACCATTAACAAGGTCTTTTACACCTCCACCTTGTGGTTATCTGAAACTTATTGCTGTTTATAAAACAGATTTTCAGCCATGGCAGCCCAATAACACAAGTGTTTGTCCAAAGGAACAAAGTATCCCCAGTACTACCTCAACAGCTGTAATAAGTTACTATCTTATTAAGTACAGTGTTACCTCGAGTTACATACGCTTCAGATTACATACGCTTCAGGTTACAGACTCCGCTAAGCCAGAAATAGTACCTCAGGTTAAGAACTTTGCTTCAGGATAAGAACAGAAATCGTGCTCCGGTGGCGCGGCAGCAGCGGGAGGAGCCATTAGCTAAAGTGGTGCTTCAGGTTAAGAACAGTTTCAGGTTAAGAACAGACCTCTGGAACGAATTAAGTACTTAACCTGAGGTACCACTGTATACAGTTGATTTGTTCAGAGCGAAGGCACTTACTAGCTAACACCTATTTACCTCAGTCAATATTCCCTATTTTACCTGTGAGTTTGAATTGAATTTTGAAATTCATAAAATGTTTCTATTTTTGAAATTAGATGCTGAGCAGCCATAAAAACAAACACTTGCAGACAAGCTCTGTCTGGATCTTTACATAAGACAGAGGCCCCAACCTTTGTTTTTTTAATAAAAAAAATAGGAATTACTGTCTACAGAGGACTAAAAAAGCGATGGTAGGAAATGTGATGGTAGGAAACTTAGAACAATTAAGTAACCACATAAATTTGAACTACGTAAGAATGCCCCAGCCCAACTGCGTTCTGATTAAAAAATAACATAAAATAAAACCTGCCCATCTACATTTGTGAATGGTCTCCTGGCTGTGCAATAATTTACGTATCTTGTCACCCATAATCACCCATTGCAGTGGAAAGGACATTGGATAGAGCAAGACCATAGGGGCCAAGGTCCCTTTGGCCTCCCCCCAATAAAATATTTGAGGCATCTGGATCCCCCTAAAGTTGATGGGCATTGTCATTCAAATGGTGTGGATGTGCCGCGTCTTATGATCAATTATGTCGGATGTGGCGGATGCTTACCTCCTCCCACCCAATATTTTATTCAAGATGGCACCCCTGGGTAAGACAGAAGGTGGATTTGTGCTCCTTGAGGAAGAAGGACAGGATACAAATTCAAGAACTAATAACAACAATTTAGTAAAACAACAATATTAACATGTTCCAGGGAAGCTACAATCCCCACAAGGAAGATCACACCTGCTTTATTACAGTGCTAAAATACTGCATTTACAAATGTGACTATGGCTTTCGTGTTTCTGACCTTCCACCACCATGTTTCATCATCCCTTTTGCCTAACAACGAGAAGAGGTTGGTATCTAACCTCTTGGACCAAAAAGTTAGCCCTCTAAATATAACTCACCTTGAAGAAAACTGATATGAATCCTGTACAGAAAGTATTTATACCCATCTGAAATCTTTTCATATTATCACTATTATTACTGCTACTACTATATTTATCAAACAGGCCCAAATATGTCTTCCTCGTAATTCGACACAATTAAAAATGCCCCAAATTAGTCATTCTGCATGCTTAGTTGAACATTCTGCATGCTTAGCTGAACATTTTTAAAGAAGCTCCATCGCCTTTTGACCACCTCCACCCCTTTGGAAATAAAGTCAAAACTGCAACATAAAATCCTAAGCGTTAAGGAAAAGCCTTCCTTTATATGGCTTTTCGAGGGAGAAAAAGCATCAAATCACTTCTTAATGACCTTGCTGTGATATGTTATCTCACATTGCCATCTGCAAGAGAATCTTCTGTTACCCATTATTAATTTTTCCTGGCAACCGCCTAACGCCACTACAGAATTATTTCTCAGCAGGTAAAGCGCAGGGAGCTTTCTGTCTCCTCCAATTCCAAGCAGAGTCAAGGGGGGGAGCAGTTGGGGGGGTGGAAGCAAACAGACGAAGTAAGTAAATTAGTGGCTGTATTGAAAGGGTCAGCCCCCCTGCCCCCTCTACCTTCCCACACGCAGAACCTTAGAAGTTTCACAAATGCGCCCAAGCAAAGGAATTCTCAAGCTCCAACTGGTAGCATGGCCTCTGTCCTCAGTTCACCCTGCTGTAATTAGGTAGTGCGGCATATGGTACCGCTAGTCAACCTCTGAAGAGAAAATAATGTGACTTTAATGGGGTTTGCTGTGGCTTCAATTTACGCTTTTCTGTGCACTGCAAAAATGGAGCTTCTTCTCACTTCACTTAATCTACAAAGCTAATAACGCACACAAATACACACACAAACAGAAAACCCCGGAATACAGCATTGCTTCTTATACAGTTCTCCACATGTAATGAAGAGATTCTGCGTCTGAGGGGGTGGGCAGAGAAAGAGAGGTGGCGGGGGATGTTTTCAGAGATCACGGCGTACCTCTCAGCCACGCAAGTGCCCAAATTAGAATACCAGATAAATATTTCACAAAGGAGGTCCCAGGGACGCTTATGATCAAGGCAATGTTCTGAAATGAAGGAACAGCACATTATGCTCTACGGATATTAAGGCTCCATACCCAGGGAAGGTGGAAGTGTGGATGCTGCCACAGGAAAGCAGGTGTAAGGAACCTTCCTGTCTGGCCCTTGAGACATGCCCTGGACCCCAGCCCCTTACCAGCTCTGCTCTGCGTCCTTCCCAGAGTTCCTCTGTCTGCCTGGACTGTGGCCTCAAATTGTGATGATGCCTTCTATTTGCAGGGCTGGAATCCAGCCTGCTGTACAAATGTAAGAGGAACATCCATTGGGGGTACTTAGCTGGGGAGCTAGAGCCATTGTCTTATGTAGAGAATGGTTTGTCCAATTCAGCAGGCTCCCTCTACTACAAAAGGTAAAGGACCCCTGGACGGTTGAGTACAGTCAAAGGTGACTCTGGGATTGCAGCGCTCATCTCCCTTCAGGCCAAGGGAGCCGATGTTTGTCCACAGACAGCTTTCCGGGTTATGCGGCCAGCATGACTAAACCGCTTCTGGAACACAGTGACTGAAACGAGAGCACACAGAAATGCTGTTTACCTTCCCATCGCAACGGTACCTATTTATCTACTTGCACTGGCGTGCTTTTGAACTGCTAGTTTGGCAGAAGCTGGGACAGAGCGACAGGAGCTCACTCCATTGCAGGGATTCGAACCACCGACCTTCTACTACAAACTTCCATTTCATAGATATTGCATCACAGGCTTGGTTGGGAGCCATGAGCACTACTGAAACCACACTTAAATTATTTAACTAACCTTTTGTAGGATTAGAAAGGGCTGGGCCCTTCATTTGCCAAATAGTAAGCAATCATAGAATCATAGAACCACGGAGTTGGAAGAGACCCCAAGGGTAATCCAGTCCAACCCCCTGTAATGCAGGAATCTTTCACCCAACGTGGAGCTTGAACCCACAACCCTGGGATTATAAATCTCATGCTTTACCAACTGAGCTACGTCAGCAGCAGTAATGGTGGTGATGCTGGCAGGAACTTCAGTCACCGTCAGTATATTTATGTGCTGCACTTTCCAGAAATGCAATTGCACTCAAAGATGTCCACAGAGAGCAAGTCTACAAAAATAGTACGTAATCGCATTATGTAATGAAATCTGTCACATCACTGCAGCAAAACATGAACAGTTTGACAAATTAACAATTCATTTAAATTATTATTATTATTATTATTATTATTATTATTACTATTATTAAAATTTATACACCACCCTTCATACGAAGATCTCAGGACAGCTCACAAGTTAAAAATACAGGATAAAAGCACAAAATACCGTATTTTTCGCTCTATAAGACATACCAGACCACAAGAAGCACCTAATTTTTGGAGGAGGAAAAGAAAAAAAATATCTGAATCTCAGAAGCCAGAACAACAAGAGGGATCGCTGTGCAGTGAAAGCAGCGATTCCTCCTGCTGTTCTGGCTTCTGGGATAGCTGCGCAGCCTGCATTCACTCCATAAGACGCACACACATTTCCCCTTACTTTTTAGGAGGGAAAAAGTGTGTCTTATAGAGCAAAAAATACGGTAAATAGTTAAAACAAAAAGAAAACAATAACACCCCTCCCACGTAAAAAAAGAAGAAGTGAGCATAACACATATCATAGGCAAGTCTTCCCCAACCTGATGCACTCCAGGTGTTATGGGACTCCAATTCCCATGAGCCTCAGCAAGCACAGCCAACAGTGAGGAATAAGAGGACATGTAATTCGAAACTTCTGGGGGGCACTAGGATGGGAAAGGCTCCAAAGGTCAAATGACAACATTCAGCAGCCTCAAATTTCAAAGCTGCACTCAACAATCCCTCTTCCAGTTCCTCCAAGAGCCGCTTTCTTACAAAGGTTGAGGGCAGTGAAGCCCCCCACCCCAAGACAAGCACAGGGTCTCTCTCCCCTCCTAGAGCCAGACTGCAAGGAGATCATGGGTCTTTGGGGAGAGATCCAGCGGTTCTTTCTCCCTCCCACTCAGGTCTCCAGATGTTCAGAGCTCCCTGGATAGAGTTGCCCCTCTTCCTCTCATAGAATTTAAGACATCACTAAAACTTACATTAATACTTAAAAGTTATGACCTGAACCATTATAAAAAGGACATTATAAAAAGAAATGGCTCCAGAGACTCTGCGCGTATGTCTTCTTGGAAGGACACATCATTAGTTTCATCCAGTACAAGAGATATGAGAAATTAACCTGACATCACATTATCGTGCTTAGCCAAAAGCCTTCCTCTTATCTGTGGTGCTAAGACTGTAGCCGAACTATTCGACAAGCAAGCAAAATAGAGCTTATATATTTTGCAATCGTAAATGTCAAGAGGGAAGTTGCTTATACAATATAAATTGGGACTAGCTCCAGAGATACCAATGGAGTGATAAATACTACAGGCTCCAGAATGGGCCCATTCTTTCACTATTAGGAGATTCACAAAATGCCCCTTGTTTACTCCAGATTCCTTAAACAAACAACTATTTTATGCTTGCTTTGGTTTTTTGAGACACTCTGCAGACTTGCAATTTGCAAAATCGCTTACTGCCTGCTAATTAACCCTTAACATACTTTCTTTGCCCTTTCATTTGCACCATTAGGAGTAAATAAGACCTAGGGAATTCACTTTAGTTTTCCCAACACAATCTTACTGGAGTATTTTGGGGTTACCACCACCCGTGTAAAAAATAAAGCCGTCACCGATTCGCTGCATGAGTGCATTTAGATACATACAAATTCAATTTCATGAAGTTTGTTTGATTGGCTGAAGCTCAGTAACAGTTGCATACTATGCATGCAAAAGGTCCCAGGTTCAAATCCTGGCTAATCTGGAAAAGACTGGGCAGCAGTAGTTCACTGCCACTTACCAGGAGACAGAGTGGCAGGTGGGGGTATACAGGTGCACCAGCAGAGCCCACCCACCACACAACCCCAAATTTGCCATTGATTTGCCACTGTTTCTCCCCCTCCAAGTAAGTGGCAGTGATGTCACTGCCCAGAGGCTACTGCTACAGCTTCATTCCTCCGGACAAGGTATTCCTGAGACTGGGAAAGAATCCAGTCTGAGGCCCCAGACAGCAGATGCCAGCCAGTGAAAGGAAAGCCCAGAGGCTATGCGCTAGTGCAGGGGTCCCCAACCTGCAGCCCACCAAGGCCGTTTAACCGACCCACGATCCGGCCCTGAACCGAGCTTCCTGCTCAGCGAGTCCCTGAGTGCTGACCTAAACCAGCGCAGCGCGAGGTGGGGACTCTCTTCCGTGGCTCCTGAAATCGCTTCTGCGCATGCCCAGATGCCGGAAATCACATCTGGGCACGTGCAGACGTGATTTCTTGCATCTCGCTGCGCCGGTCCGACCCACGGAGGATCCCACGGGAGTGATCCGGCCTATGTCCGGTAAACCTTGCCATCCCCTGTGCAAGTGCCATGACAAGCGACAATCACAGGCATAGTACTGGACTTGATGCATTGTATTTGATTTATGCATTTATTTGATTCCATCATATTATCTTGAATCTATATGGCAGTAAAAACACCAGCAACAGCAACTATTAAACACAGCTCCATATAGAAAAGACGATTTCAAATCCAACACAGACACAACCAGTGTATGCGTCAACAAAACTCCCTGTGTTAATATGAGTAGTAGCAGCAGGACAAATTTGGTACTGCAGAAAAGCCATCTTTGGCAGATCTTAACTGTGTTGTCAAGCAAGAGTGCAAGATAAGAGCAGGACCAGTCACGACTCACCTGAAATCTATCCTAAAGGCATTTCAATCACTATGCAGCCAGGTATGTGTCGCGGTCTAATCTTTGGTAGCAAAATGACTGCAACTTACCCTCAGAACTGCCCTGCGATGTAGAGACAATACTGAGCTAGGTGAACCAACACAGTCTAACTTGGTATAAGGCAGATTCCTACACTCCTAATGAAACAAGCCCGTAGCAACACTATCTAGCTGACGCTCCATTATGTAAAAACCTTGGCTAGAACCAAGGGAACTCAAGGATCTCTCCACCAGAAAGTCACACACAGTTGGGAGTGTCCTTACTCAGCAACAGTCTTTGTGGCAGACAATGGAAACTGGCTTGAAGCTTATTCTGCTTGATATGTTGCCTCTGGCAGTAGAGACATAAAGGACAAAACAAAAAACGGCCTTGGAAGACCTCACTGAGCAAAGGCAACAACAGTAACTGCTTTGACGTTAGATATATACACCGTGTGACAGTCAGCAACAGAATTTGTGGAAAGGTGACCATTATTGGATGCTCGCTGCCATCTGTCGGGAAGACGTGGGCTGTTTCTTTCTATACGTTCAACCATGGTATTGAGGCCAGTATTTGTTTCGTGTTTGTTAAAAACTGCGGAAGATGCCAAAATCAAGAGGTATAGTGGGCTCTGGGGAGGCATAGAAGGCATCAGAAATGTATAACCATTTGGCACACTCAGAGAATCGGGCAAATGTGAGTGAGTTTGTATAATACAGAGAAATGCAAGGCTACGTGTCTGGGGAGGAATAATCATCAGCGTAGATATAAAATGGAAAATTGCTACTTAGGAAGCTTTTAACGCTAGGAAAAAAGAAATTACAACGAGTGTCAGATTGGTGTGCAGAAAGAGTTTGAACGGAACAACAGCTTTGGAACCTCTGGGGTCAAGGAAGAGAGAGAGGTAAAGATTGTCATGAATGCTATTATGATGCTTTTTACGAATTCTGAGAAATGCAAAGAAATCAATGAAACCAGGCTGAATACACATCACACATTTCAAGCACACGGTCCTCCTGCCCCCACTAGAATCCTGGGAACTGTAAGGGTTGTTAGAAGTTGCATGAAGCACAGGACAAATGTGGCTGGGGCAACCCAGTAAGATGTGTGGGGTGTAAATAATAAAAATATCATTATGGAATGGGACATCCCTATTTTCATTGGAGAAATGTTGGAGGGTATGTTCTATGCACTCTCATTTATATGCTCTGATCTTGTAAATCTACCACTTTAAATCAGGGGGTGAAAATTCAAACCCTGCATTCTCTTTAATTCTAAGAAGTAAACCACATCTTACTTCATTCATGTACATTTTCAGCCAGACAGGTAAAGCTATAAAGGGATCTAGTGCTGGGCTGGGGAACCTGTGGCCCTCCAGTTGCTTCCTGCATAATTTCCACAAACACACACACAACACTCCCCTCCTCCTTTCCCAAAGTGTCAGGAGGCGGGACAGGGGGGAAAGAAATAGGGAGACACAAAGTTTAGGTCAGGCAACCTCCAGATGTTTCTGGACACAACTCCCGTCACCCCTAGCCAATGGCAGTGCTAACTGGGAGTGGAAGGAGTCCAACAACATCTTGAAGCCCAACATCACCCTGAGGGCAGTAGTTTGGGGAAGGCTGGCTCGTTTCCTTGGCAGGGTGCAACATTCCTCCAGCCTTTTGCAGCTTTTATTCAGCAAGGAAAGGGAAAGAGAAGGGTTCCGCCCCCCAATGCTATTAATCTGGTTGTTGCTACAAACATTTAATTCACTTTGCAAAATAGCACTAACGAACTGCGTGCCCCCCACACAACAACCTCCGTGCTTGATGTGCGAGTCACATCTTTCTTAAATAAAGCAGCCAGGCTCTCCTCAGGCCTCATTCACTCTTGCCCAACACAGAGCTGCTGTTCAGTTAAATAGCTGTACATAAATGGGGGTTTTGCACACACCAAAGCCCTCGGCCAGGAACACTGCCAAGCAAGTCTGTCGACAATAGTGGGCTTCTCCTTTCAAAAGGCGATTGGTAGGGCTGGAGTTTTAATTATAGCAGGACTTTGCACACCCACACCTGAGTGAAAAAAGCACCCCAAATGTACTCTGTTACCCTTGGAAAGTCTCCGTTATATAACTTACTCTGAAGACTGGCATGGCCTACGCAGCTGGCAAAAGGGTCCTGGCTGCTCCAAACAGGCAGTTTCTGGGACTTCAGGAATGGG